GCATGATCTCTCAGTGTCAGTTCATCTTCCTCATTGGGACAAACTGTCACCCTACCTGCCACCTGTCATCATTCCCAACTGTGGCCCCTAAGTGTGGGCAAGTTGAGAAGAGGGCAAAATCAAAGGATGACTGAAAGGTTGGGAGGAAAAGCCCAACCTGCTGTGGACATGGAATGGCATTTCCCTACGCCTGGGGTTCATCCTATGGACCACTTCTCAAAAATGGGCCACCTAAAGGTGGTGTATACACACCATGGAATATTAGCCATAAAAATGAATAACTTTCTGAGTTTTGCTGGTAAATGGATGGATCTGGAGACTATCAGMTAAGTGAAATAAGCCAGTACCAAAAGACCAAAGGAATGTCCCTCTGATATGTGGATGCTAACACACAGCAAGGGGGAGAGAAGGGAAGACTAGAAGTTTGGTGGCTTAGACAAAGGGGAATGAAGGGAAGGGAGAAGAGATGGGAATGGGAAAGACAGTAGAACGAATCGGACACAATTCTCCMCTGATCATGTATGAATACCCACCAGAGAATTCACRTTCAACCACAGGATGGGATCCTAATTAGAATAAGTTATAATCTATGTATATTTAATACATCAAAATACACTCTACTGTCATGTATATATAAAAAGAACAACAGAAAAAAGAACGGGCTGCTTTTCTCCTGTAGTCTGGACATTTGGCCATTTACAATATTCACAGAGAAAAGGAAGGGCCTTGGAGCCCGCTGATTTGGGGTGYCTTCGTGACTGTGACCCGAGCTCCGCCCATCTTTGCTGTCATTTAGCTCCCCTCCTTCAGCCTTTTGCCCAAAGACTGGGTCTTTAATAAAACTACACTATTCCTTGTGGTGACTAAGGAAACGGTCTGCRGACTCTCACAGCCTCGATTCAAATCCAAGACCTGCCAGCATTTCCGAGGGTTAAGTCACTCAACCGCTAAGCCTCCTCGCCTGGTCTGAAAAGCAGAGATAAGAGACTTTGCTTTATAAGGTGCTTGTTAGAAAAAATCAAATGAGCTAACAATCTATGTAAAGCCTTTAGCTCGGTAGCTTGACATGTCATAAACGATAAAACACAAAACAGAACAAAACGCAACAGAAATGGTCAACGCGGCTTCTCATCCTTTCATTCATTCAGCAGACGGATAATCGAGCACTTACTGTTTGCCAACCACTGCTCCAGACACTGGGGTTACAACAGACAGGGCCCCTGCCCTCCTCCATATGCTAGTRGGTCTGTCAGCATGTGTGGCGATCAAGTGGCCAAGAGAACACGCCATCCAACTCACCAGTTCTTTTCAATCCACTGGTACCATCAAACCGGGACATTGTGAGACAGCGCAGATCTCAAGGACAAGGGGTAAGCTGTTGTGCAACATCACCCTGGGCCTTCTCCTCACATTTGAGCTGCATCCTGTTCACAAGTGTCTCCTGCTGGCCCTGTCAACCTGCTATGGGTTTTACCAATGATGCTCATGGGGCTGGCACACGGATACTCCTGGCCTAAGGCTTTCCTGTGGTGTAGAGAAGGACATTGACTTTGGAGTCAGGGGACCTGGCTCTGCCACTGTGCAGAGGGGTACTTTGCAATGAGTTATTTCATCTTGTGAGCCTCTCAGGGACGTGGAGGACCAATTTCCTGCAGATCTCTAGCAGAATTAAAAACATAATGCAGAGTCTGTCTCAGGTGGGTCCTTGATGAGTAAGAAGGCCTTTCTATTGCTTTTTCTGCCCTTTTGAACCACTGGCTTTAAATTTAAACCAGCAGTTTTGAGGGAGCTGCTGCCATGCCAACTCAGAACAGTAAGGAAGGCCACAGAAAGCACTTCACAGAAGCCAGATGAACCTCTCAGATGGGGAATAACTTTCTTAAGTCCCAGAACTCACAAAGCATAGATCTGAGCTGGAACTAACACAGACATGGCAAAGGGGTCTCTCCAAAGCTGCTACCCTGCTGGAAATACTCAGTTTGCACCAGGAACATGGACTCTGGGCATTCTTATTCTACGCTCCCACCCAATGCCCGTGGCAGACAGGACTAACACAYCACAGCACTCTCCCGCTGTTCCCCTCGCAGACTCAGAATTCAACCTCCAGACACCTTATGCTGTGTCTCTAGGTGAAAATTGGCCATCATTTCTTCCCCATATAGTCCTTTCATGTGAGTCTGTTCTCCTTGAAATGGGTATTTGGGTTTGTTTTGTTTATTCTTTAAATGAATAAATGAATGTACTGACACTATTAGGCTTCACGTGACTAGGTTAAGAACACGAATAGCTTCCATTCTAGTAAAAGACCCCCCAGAGTCTTTTAGTCTCTGAAGARGTTGGAGGGATAGGTATAAATTACTAAAAATCATTTAAACTATATTACGCACCAGCCCTGTCTCCCAAGCCTTAACTACATTGTTTCTTCAATCCTTCTTGTCCTCTAAATTCGACTTTGGACTTCCCATCTTAAGGTAAACCAAAGCCCAGAAAACGGAAATGACTTTCCCAAAGTTATAAACCGACTCCCCCACCCCCAGGAGCTGACTCCTGTGGCAAACACTAAAGTCCACAGAAGATTCCTGGCCTGGGTTCTGCTGACGTCACGGGGCCTTGACCTCTCTGAATCTTCAGCTCTTTCCTCACACCCAAAACAGCATCACATTATTCTCCAAACTTGAATCTGCTCTCCAAATTTGAATATGACTTTAAATCCCTCTTTGATGACTTTTCAACAACCATGTAAATAGGTGGAAAGCATCATTGGCTTTATGTAAATCCCTGAAGCTAAATTTGGCCCTTAGAGCAAGTTTAAAAGAGATAAAACGCCTTTGCAAGGCTCTAGGGTAGAATCCATAAGAGGAAACTAGCATAATRTGGCCCAAATCATGGAGAAAGCGGGGCTCCTGACACAGTTGCCCAGACAATGAGGATCGGGGTGAGAAGATCCTTGTGCCCACACTGGAACAATCACGTTAGTCCTCTGCACTGGCACAGAGTCTTACGATTTGCMCCTTGGCAGAGTGTTCTGGATCCTCACCCAGGAAGGAGTCACGGGCAAGGGGACAGAGACGCTGGGAAGTTATATGACCTGCACAAGGCCACTGGGTCCACAGAGAAGCCCGTTCCTGTGCACCCAGCCCTTGCAGGGCACTGCCCATGCACTCCCCACTCGTCCTTGCCCCCTTTCTTTTTTCCTCCTTTCTTTTCCCACCTTCTTACTCCCTCCATCTTTCCCTTCCCCCAGAACACATGTGGTTCGTCATGGGGAAACGGATTCTGAGCCACAAGGGCAGCTCTGACCTCTCCTCCGTGGCCTCCCCTCTCTGGGCCTTGCTCCTTTTCCTCCCCACAGTGTTGGCCGCCGTTTCTGGTTTCTGCTGCTTCCCTGGAGCCTGACTCAGCCACAGCCTCTCCCACTGCGCTAGTTCATATCGTAACACCTCGCAGCGCCTCTCCAGAAGCTCAGCTGCCTCAKCGATGCACAGGGGGGCAGAGGGGGACACAGGCCGGGCTCTTGCCACGCTTCCCCATGCTGCCTCTGCCCCTGCTAGCCCCTCAATCAAAGAATGACCGGGGCTTTAGGAATGTGAGGAAGATGTCTTTAAAAACCAGCAAGAGGGAAAGGAAAGTGAAACTGCAAGATCACAGCCCCTATTCATCACAGGGCGACATCCAGGTCCACAGCAGGAGCAAAACCATCAGTGTACAGATCGCAGAAAGTATGGGTTGCAGCGCGGTCCTCAGAGCCAGGCATGAAGAGATCAGGATGCTGGTCCTGCCACTCCCCAGCGTGGAGACCTGTGGAAGCTTTATCAACAGGCTGAGCTTCAGCTCCCTCATGTACAGAATGGACATTTATCACTGTCCCTGGTTGTGTGTCCATCCACCTGACAGATGTTCAACATCCGCTATATATTAGGACTGTTCTAGATATTCAGTGATAAGCAAAACAGAGCCCTCCTACCACCCCCCCCACACACACACAGGCTCCCACTATTTGTTAAACCAAAAGAAGCACTTAGCAAAGCAATTCCCCAACTTTGCTTCACATTAGAACAACCTGGGGAGCTTTTGAAAGTCCCCATGCCCTGGTTGCACTCCATACCAATTAAATTAGCAAGGTTGGTGGTGGAAACCAGGCATCAGAATTTATTAAACATCCCCAGGTGGTTCTAATGTACAAAGTTTGGTGCCCTTAGCGTCAGCAGCACACACCCTACACAGACTCTGCCTCCGTCTCTCCTCAGCACCACTCTGGCTGAACACTTGCCTGATCCATTCTAAACAGAGCTGGGCAATCCCCAGCATAATATATATTTAAATTAGCAACTAAAAGGATAATGTCGATTTTTAAAACCAGGAGTAGCAACAATCTGCATTAGCTCATTGATTAAATAAATGTGTCTGGGTTCCTTCCATCAGGAGGCATTGGGCAGCCCTCGACACCCAGCCCAATGCTCAGGAGTGGATTCTYGGAAGTCCCCCTGAAACAGCCTCTGCATTCAGATTCATCTGCTCTGCTGCTTCCCAAGCACAGGGCAGGCCTTCAAGGTTTCTCAGAGATGTACACAGTTTGCAGATGAGCATCCCGAACCCCCACATTCAACATCCCATTTCTCCAAATTACCCCTAGTCTATAAAACAGACTCTTTAATCCTGAAGGGGATTGAGAATCAAGTCGGAGCCCCACCTTAATAGGAAACTGCCACCTTTCGGTTCTCCCACTAGAGCAGACCAAGTTTGACTGACTTCCCTCCAGATAACACAAGCTGGGGAGCTATTTTAAAAGGAGGCCCTGCTACAGTCATGGGAAACAAAAAGGGCATCTGCTTCCTCCTGCCCCAGGAGCCCTATCAGCAATGCAGCCAGCCCAGCCTTCAATTAACACCAGGCTGCATATTTAAGCCCCAAAGTAGTCATTATCTCAGCATGTGGTTATTTATTGGATGACCAAGGGAAAAGACAGAGATTTCTCTTTTTCTTTTGTAGTGTGAACCGACCTGCAAAAGGATGGTGGTTTTATGTTGACTTTTCATCAGGTTGTTGATGGATTCAAAGAGCCGCCTCATGGATTCTTCAAACTCCATCTGTTCTTTGCCTTCATAAAGCCTGAAAGAAGACACATTTGGGTTATTTCTCAAGCCAACAGGCAACATCTTTGAAAGAGTGTGCCAGCTACAACCTTCATTTAAAATTTAAAAGAAAAAGGGTCAGGAGATGCAGACTTCAAGGGAAAGGAGGTGTTCTGTGCTGCTGCATGCAGAATTCACTCAAGGGGGACCCTCCCACCAAACAGGATCCCTCCACCTGGCAGGACACAGGAGCCTCCGAGGAGGGAATGCTGAGCTAAGAGGACATGGATAATGTCACCCTTCTGCAAGAATCAGAGGGGAGAGGCTGTGGTCATCAGATTTTCAAAGTACCCTGGAAACATCAAGAAGAAATATTTTCAAATCCACCACCCCTCCCACTTCGCCACAGCCTGCATGGCCAGCAGGCCCCACAATCTACTCAGGGGCCTCCTGTACCCTTATTTCAGGAGGACACTTATTCTGGCCTCTTTCTCCTCTCATTACAAAGATCCTACATTTTTATCATAAAAAAACATAACAGAAATGCATAGGTTAGAAACTGAGAATTCTCATTAACCCAAGCAAAAAAGTCAGCTCTGTCAGTATTTTGATGTGCATCCTTCCAGAGGTTTCCAGTGCCTCCTGATGTTCACATGTGATGGTGCCTGGAAGCCATCCTCTCCTAGAGAATCAGGTCCCCAAGTCTCACCACCCATCCCCCACCTCAGGAGTAATGCTCAGCCCCGGGCTTCTCCAAACAAGCTTTATCGCCAACCGTGAAATATCCACAGCCTAATCTGCAGCATCCAGTGTGAAATGCACAGAGGAGGACTCCTGTCACCGGCTCAGATATAGAGTCTCTCCTGTCACAGCCTGACATGTCAAAAACTTGTCAGMGCCTGGGCTTTGGTAAAGGTGCTTTGCTCAGATAAAGCACTGACAGGCTTAACAGGTGTGTCTGCTTCTTGAAGCCCAGAGCTGAACCAGTACGGCCACCTCGCTGCCATCTCTGCACAATGCCCGCCCCACCCCTCTCCCCTCTGTTTCCTGGCTCTAATTGTGTCTTCTGTTTATCATCTTCAGTGTGAGTCATTCTCTCTGTGGGAATCGGGGACTTCATCGCCAGCCACTTCCTCTTTCTCTTTCTTTCTTTTTTCCTAACTGGCCATCTCAAAAATYCTCCTGGAGTAGGAAGCTAATGGGAAGCCAGAGCTGGTTCTCCCAATCAGTTCCAGGGAGCTGGCAATTGCCGTTGACTTTCTAGGAATCTAGGTCAAGGTCACAGAGAGGCCCTGTGCCTTGGGCATCTTCATTCTCCTCTCCAAGGCTCGCCCTTCTCTCTCCCTGCTCCTCTTCACACCACTCATTTCTGGACCTTCTCCTGGGGCCACAGATACCTGCTGTAGAGTGTGGACTGCAGGGAAAGTCAGCTCTGGGTGAAGACCCCCACTGCCCTGCAGGAACGGGGCCACCTTGTCAACAACCGCGAACTTCATGGAGAGCAACTGTGCCCAGCACTCTGGGATTCCATTAGGCCATCCCCCTCCTCACAGCCCTGCCACCAAGCAGCCCCATCATCCTGCCCACTTGCTGCTTCAGCAGCAGGGCCTGGCTCCCCAGCCAGAATCAGAGTCAGGATGCAAGCGTGGCCATCCGGCTCTGGAGCCCAGCGCTCCATGTCCACCACCTCTCTCAATTTCCTGTGCCTCAGTTTCCCACCTGCGGTGTCGGCGGCCACAGGACTGGCAGAGGACTGCACAGTGGCTGGCTGAGCACAGAGCTAGGCCCCAGGGAGCACTAGCTGCTGTCCTGCGGCCAACTGTGAGAGGACTTTCCCTGCTGTCATCCCACTCCACAGGTAAGAACACAGGAAATCCTCATGAACTTGAAACCTGCTCAATCCCACCTGCTCTAGTCTGGATGGGATTCATCCCCCAAGGATTCAAGTTGGAAGGTTGGACCCATGTGGTGATGTGAGAGGTGGTGGGACATATGAGAGGTGGGACCTACTGCAAGGTCAGTAGGTCACTGGAATGCACTCTTGGTAGTGATTAAGGTAGCTCTCTTAAGAGGACCAGTAATGGACCCAGCTATGTTCTGGCTTCTTGTCTCATATGAACTCTCCCTCTCACCTGTGCTCCAGCGTCATGCCATCAGCCAGAGCCAAGTCAATGCCAGCACCATGGCCGTGACCCTCCAGAACTATGAGCTCAATACACCTATTTTCTTTATAAAATTGCCTGGCCTTGGGTATTTCATTGTAGTAGCAGAAAACAAACTAATACATCATCTCAGTGGAAAAATGGGACCACAGTCCCATTCTAACCTTGATCAAGCACAGAAGAAGACTGGACCTTAATTCAATGTGGTCATGTTGGCTTCCCCACAACTAATTTCTCTAGCCAATGGATAGTCCATCTCTCCAGAATTTTGCTTTGAAAACTGCTACTCTTTCCCCTACTGCAGCTACCTGAAACATTTAATAGACTATATCACAATGCATCCACTAAGTCACTGGTCTTAGTACTGAGCCTGACCACTGCCCCCCATCAGTATTTGACAACCAGACTTGGCTGCCCCAGTATCGAGATGCCAGTGGGCATCCTCCTTGGTATACTGGTGTGTGTGGTAGAGGCCATTATGACCAGGTAATCTTCATGGGAACTGCCTGCCCCACCAACAGGGATGGTCACTAGTGACACTTTCCTGCTAAAAGACAGCCCCATCCACCCATCAACTGAATGGCTTTTTGGTAGTTCTCTTTCTTTCTGTAAGTCGTCATTTTTAACAGAGAAACATAATGATGGGCTGTTGGGAGTCATCTCAGTGGTAGATCTCCAGRGCTCATGTTCAGGGACTGCTGTGGTTCCCACTCATGCGGTATCTGATGACCACTTTTTGGCTTTTATGAGCTGCACAGATTCCTTACAACAAACTGCACTCTAATTAAACTAGTGCTGGTTGGTTTCTCTGCAGCCCTCCTCTAGTCAGAACTGCATAGAGTGGAACAAATTTCTTCCTGCTGCTTCCTGGGGTGGGGTTTGAAACCAAGAGTTCTCGAGAAGTCCAGAGAGTACTTTGTCCATGCTCTCATTGGACAGATGGAGAGTCAGAGGACCAGAGGGGGGAAGTGACTTGGCATCGCCATCTTTTAAATATTTGACTAAGGTGGGAAGGAAGAGAGGACCTCAGACTCTTTTTAAAGAGTAGGCCAACACTCTCCATTGATTTCTAACTAAATTGAATTTTGTTTTCATCCACAAGAGAGATGGGATTCCCTCTAGGTCAGACCGTCCCTAGGGGATAGCTTGGACTGGAACTCAGCATTCTTCTCCTTCTATGCTTCTATTGGATCCTGAAGGCTCTGACCCCACCGGGGATTAATCCACTGATGGCTGACTGACCACTGAAGGCAGTGGAGACTGCAGGAGGGGGGACCTGGTTAGAAGGGGTAGATCACTGGGAGTGTGCCTGGGAAGGGGATCTCCTGTCCCTGGCTCCTTTCCTGTTTCCCGCTGTGCTTCTTTCCTCCACCACGCCCTTCCGCCATGATGCTCTGCCTCACCTGAGCCCCGAGCAATGGAGCCAGCTGATCATGGGCATAGACCTCGGAAACCATGGGCCAAAATAAATCTTTCCTTTTTAAAGTTGTTCATGTCGGGTATTTTGGTCACAGAATTGAAAAGCAAACTAACACAACTGCTGAGCCTAGAAGTGATCATGGTGGCAAATGCTCTAATCTGAGTGTAAATAAATAGAAGGGATATTTTGAGGAGTAAATGTGGCTAAGACAAGAAACACACAGGGGTTTGAGATTATATGGAAGAAACAGCCCGCTGAGATGGGGGCAACTGGGCATTCCAGGGCCTCCTGAGAAGCTTGCAAAGACAAATACAGCCTCATCTATTTGCAGCACTTTAAATGTGGCCCTGAAGTCAAGGGCACAGATGCTGCTCCAGGGACCTTTTTTTAGTACCTGGTCTCTGTTACAGCTTCAGGAGAGAAACATTGTTTTCTAGCCTAGAACACTTAGAAAGGTACTCAACAATCCAGCTGATTCTGCCAGGGAACAAATTATGGAAGGGCTCCAAGGCCCTGTCCACAAGGAAAACTGAAACAACCTGCAAGGCGCTGTTCTGAGGCCGAGAGCCCCATTACAGCCAGGCTCCCAGGGCTGGGATACATACAGTCAGGCTCAGCCACAGGTGATTCATTAAGGAGACAGTGCCCAGCTGAGCACTCGCCCAGTGCAAACGCAGCCCCATATGGTGCACATGGTGCTCTCTTCCACCTGCTTCGTGTAAGTACTTTGAGCCTTGGCCTAAAACTGAGATAGCCAACCTGAGCCCGCAGCCCAAGGGAGAGGAATCCAACCAAAGCTATTCGGGCTGTGAGGCATGCTGGCAGGTTCACTGTAGTATCCAGAGGCGAGGTGGGCCTCATTTTGTTTTCTAAATCACAGTCACAGCCAGCTCCTCTAAGTGACCCTTACAGGCATCCCTCTGACTGTTGTCTTGCCTCTTGGAGGTAAAATAGAAACTTAGACTCTCTGGGTTCCAAATCCTGTCTTGCCACATACGGGGAGAGTGCGGGGAGCAAACCTTGGCTAAAACACAATCTCTTTAAGGGTCAGTTTCCTCAATGAGTAAAATGATGCCTTCCCTGTAGTTTTTCCAAAAATCAAATGTAAGTAGAGCGCCACTCATCCAAAAATGGGATCAGAGGTGTTTCAGCTTGGGATTTTTTTTCCTGGATTTGGGGATTTTTACACTCTTTACATAATCTTAGTGACAGGACCAGAGCCCAAATAGGAAACTCATCTATGAGGCTCATAGGTATCCTATACAAATATACTGAAGGTCACTTTATCTGACACTTTTGGTAATTCTGCTCATAAGACAAAGTTTCACGGTGTGGAATTTTCCACTTGTGGAGCCATGACATTCAAAAAGTTTCAGATTTTGGAGCACTCCAGATTTCAGACTTTTGGATTAGGGACACTCACCCCATAAATGCCATGTAAAGCGATTGGCACAG